CTGGACATGACCCGGCAGCGTGTGCTCACAGCCCAGAAAGCCAACTGTTATCCTGGCTGCACCAAAAGAAGCGTGGCCAGCAGGTTGAGGGAGGGGATTCTGCCCCTCTACTCCACTCTGTTGAGACCCCCCTGGAGCTCTGTGTCCAGCTCTGGGGTCTCCAGCACACGAAAGGCCGGAGCAGGACCGGAGGAGGCCATGGAAATGGTCTGAGGGTTGAAACACCTCTCCTGTGGAGGAAGGCTGAGAGCTGGGGTTGTTCAGCCTGGAGAAGACTCTGGGCAGACCTTCTTGTGGCCTTTCAATATATAAAGGGGGCTTACAAGAAAGATGGAGAAAGACTTTCTACCAGGGCCTGTAGTGACAAGACAAGGGGAAATGGTTTCAAATGGTTAGATTGGACATAGAAAGGAATGTTGTACGGTGAGGGTGGTGAGGCCCTGGCCCAGGTTGCCCAGAGAAGCTGTGGCTGCTCCCTCCCTGGCAGGGTTCAAGGTCAGGTTGGACGGAGCTTTGGGCAACCTGAAAGATGCTCTAAAGATGTCCATGCTCATTGCAGGGGGGTAGATTATATGATCTTTGAACGTCCCTTCTGACCCAAACCATTCTGTGATTCTATATGGTAAGTGTTCAAGGTCAGGTTGGATGGGGTTTTGAGCAACCTGCTCTCGTGGAAGATGTCCCTACCCATGGCAGTGGTGTTGGACTAGATGGTTTTAGAAGGTCCCTCCAATGGAACCCATTCTGTGATTCTCCGATTCCAAGAGAGCAAAAAAAGGCAGCTGCTGGGCAAGATTTCTGCTTTAATACTGCAGCGGGTTGAAGGGTGCTGGGTTGGAAATTCTCTTTCCAGGGCCCAATGCTGGGTTGCAGGAGGGATTTTCAACCTCAAAATATGGTGAGGTTGAAATTGAAATCCTCAAAATATGGTGAGGATGGGACATGAGGGAAGGTGCTCCCTGGTGTCTGTGCAATCCTCCCAGCACAGCTGGAGCAGTGTTCATCTTTCCCATCCCTGTCATGAGGTTTTAAAAGGACAGGGAAAACTCTGCTGGGTAACGGGATGGGTCCAGGGGAGGTGAAGGAGGCGTAACTGAGGGGTGATATGGGGACAGGAGAGCTCCTTCCCATTTGAATCTGGTGCCAGCGCCCCTTAAAAATCCTATTTTCCTTCAGTTCTGCTTCACAGGTTCTGCCCATCCTGGGCCCCCAGGCTGAGCCCCAGCAGCTCCCTGTCCCCAGGGAGCTGCACACGTGTCCCCTGCTGCCGTGGTCCTCCCCGGGGACCACCACGCACTGATGGAGCCCCGTCCCCACGTCTCGCCTGCTTCGATTTCTTGATTAAAATAAAATCATTGCAGGCAACGTGTTTCAATTAGCAGGACTCTGGTGTGTGCCTGCCCCTGACTGATGTGATTTGCTGCAGAGGGAACTTTTGGGGCCAATCGATAAACTAGAGAGTGTTTAATTAAGAGGGAGCCCTAAAACTCGCTGCATTGATTGGCTGCAGGTTTATCTTAATTAGCAGTGGGATGGTGTGTGGTTCCCAGCCCTGCACCCCCAGGAGCATCGCAGCTTCGATGGCAGAGCTCTAATAAGACCTGAAAGGGGGGGACCAGGGTGTTAATGAGGGTGGGTTGTTAATGGGGCTGCTATTAGCATGGGCAGTACCACTTAGAGGAGGAGGAGAGCCTGAGGAGGATGCTCTGAGCTCCACAAGTCACCGAGGTTTGTGGGGGGTTGGATGCTGCTGGTCCCCATTTTGTTGGGAGGTTTCTTGCAGAGCACACCAAGACCTTGCAGAGCCCCTTCTCGGGTTTGCAAGTGATGCCGAGCACCATGGCCGGGCTTGCTCACTGCTCGTGCTTCATTTAGGGCCACTGTTGATGAGTGGCTGGTGGTGGCTGCATGAAAAGTCTGGGTGTCTTTAATGCTAGGGGTCATCTCACCCCCAAAGGATCAGGTGAGGATGCTCTGGGTGCTGGATCAGCCTGGGGTCTGTGGCAAGAAGTGCTTGGAGCGAGCCAGGAGCATCAGTCTGAGCAGGAGATGGTGCTTGCTCAGCCCCACAATGCCTCGTGCGAGGATTGCCAAGCCTGTGCCACCCACTTCCCCTGGAAAGTGGCCGTGCCTCAGTTTCCCCAGTTGTGAAAGCTGGTGTAAGGCTGCAGCCCTGCCCTTGGGATGCCCTTGGCGCTCTGCAGGTGGTGAATGCCAGGGGAGCTGCAGCCGCAGACTCGCCACGTTTGTGCTGTGTCTCTGTATTTTCCTTAACTTTCTCAGGGTCTGACGAGGCTGAAAAAAAACCCCAAGATTTGCTTTTCACACAGAGGGAATATGCTTAAATAACAGCACACACAAAGCAGCATTTTACCTGCCAGGGTGTCTCCAGCAACGGTTTTTGGTGCAGTTAGCAGTCCTCGTTCATCCAAGGGGAGGCTGTGTTGTTTGCCACTAATTTTGCCTCTTTGGGATGAAGAAGGATTTGGTTCGACCAGGCTCTTCCCAGCTCCTTCTCCTGCAGCCTGTCCTGGCTTGATGGGCTGGAACTAAGGAGCTTTGCGGGTGTAAACGCATTACTCTGGCTCCATGGGGTGAAATCAGAGGCTCTTCTAAGGCCCATCCCTCAGCTCGGAGACTCACCGGTACCCAAAACTCACAGCCTTCGCATCCAGCTCCTGCTAAGCAGCTCTGTCAACAGCCACCAGATCGATGGATGGCTATAAAACCCTGAGCACCGTGCTCCTTGTATCATTTATTATTTACATTTCTCAATTTAAAAGATTTACAGCCCAGTTGTAAGTATTTCCAAAGGCTGTTTCCTCGGAGTGTTTAAATAGCGTGGAAGTGAATTAAGCTTCAATGCAAACAGCCTTGGTCCGGGCCCTGCGGATCCAGGGGCTGCCCGGGCTCGGCTGCTCCACACCTTTTCATCACCTTTAATTGAAACTGGGGTCCTGCCGGCATGGATCAAACAGATCCTATCCCAGGAGTAGGGTAGGGAATGGGAGACCACGCTTCTCAGCTCTGACTTTGGCTTTCCACTGACTGGCAGGATGGAGTTGAGCTTCTTACCCCTGTGCTCGGCACTGGTGAGGCCGCCCCTCAATGAGTGGGTTCAGTGTTGGGCCCCTCACCCCAAAAAGGCCATTGAGTGACTCGAGCGTGGCCAGAGAAGGGCAACGGAGCTGGGGCAGGGTCTGGAGCACAGGTCTGCTGGGGAGCGGCTGGGGGAACTGGGGGGGTTCAGTCTGGAGAAGAGGAGGCTGAGGGGAGACCTCCTGGCCCTCTGCAACTCCCTGCCAGGAGGGGGCAGAGAGGGGGGATGAGTCTCTGGAGCCAAGGCCCCAGCGCCAGGCCCCGAGGGAATGGCCTCAAGCTGCCCAGGGCAGGGTCAGGCTGGCTCTGAGGAAGGATTTCTGTGCAGAAGGGGCTGTTGGGCGTTGGAATGGGCTGCCCAGGGCAGGGGGGGAGTCCCCGGGATCCCTGGAGGGGTTGAAGAGTCGGGCTGAGCCAGCGCTGAGGGATCTGGGGGAGTTGGGAACGGTCAGGGTGAGGGTCATGGTTGGACTGGAGGAGCTTCCAGGGCTTTTCCAACCCCGATGATTCCAGGATTCTGTAAAAGAGGTGTCAATTAGAGCCCTGGCCAAGCCAATGCCAAGAGTGTGTTATTCTTTATGGATGGAGAAACTGAGGCACAGCTGGCAGTTGCACACACAGATGCATTAGCCGTGGCTCAGCCTCATGAAACACTTAGGGAAGGACCTTTGGCACTTCATTTATTTCCCCCCTGTAATTAGGACACATTAATGCGGGCTGGATGGGCTCTGGGGCCCTGGGGCAGTCCCACAGCCATAACCTCCATGGGAGCTTCACAGAGCACCAGGATGGAACTGCCCTAAATCCAGATCACCCGGGGAAGCTGCTGGTGAACAGTGGGGGGGATGTAAAACCCATTTTCTCCTGCAATTTTCAGGATAAACTCCTACTTCCCTGCCAGGATGAGGGGCATTGCACTGAGAGGGGAAACTGAGGCACAGTGCTGCGGGGAGTACTTGAGGTCCTGGAGCTCTCAGGCTTTATCATGTGAATCTGGGCCATCTCGAAGAGCGATGAGACAGAGCTGGGCTGTCAAAAAGATAAATGTAGATGGGTTTTGGTTTGCAAGTCTGCTGGAGACACAGCTTGCTGCAGCCCTGTCCCTGCACCCTCAGGGACTGCGGCATCCAACACACCCTGAAGTTCCCTAAAAGTTCACTAAAAAACCACAGCCTCATCAAATCTCCATTTCGTAACATAAAACCATTGGCAAATGCTCCAGTGCTCCCACTTCACCTTTGCTACCACCCTTCTTTAAGCTAATCCTGTAATTAAGAGTAATAGACCCCAAGTCGCTAGCAAATAGAGCCATAAATAAGCGCTGGGATATCAGGCACATCACACCAGCCACCATCCCTAATATTGTGTGCTGTGCGATTTAAGCTCCATCACATCCTTATTTATGGATTACAAATGATAACGGCAATCAAAATCCAATGGCATTAAATGGGAAGGCACAGGACGAGCTGGCCAGGCCAGGCAGAAAAACCTCTTGCAAAATACCAGGGGACCCTGTGCATGAGCTGAGCGGGAGGATTTGCCCTGGACGAGCTGAGCTTGGGGATAAACCCATCCTGGAGGGTGATTTTTTTCAGCAGTGCCCAGGACCTGAGCAATGGGGAAACTGAGACACAGAGGGTGCTGGTGGAGTGACAAGCTGACTTATATCTCCTTGCTTTCCCCTTCTCAGCTCCAAATGTTCCTAATAGTCCCTCGCTGGCTACGATGCATTTGCCCACCACCAGCCTATGCATCACACAGATGTTTCAGCCTATTGCAACTAATTATCCATGGGATTTCCCATTAATTACCGGCTGCTCTTTGCCTTTAGCATCCAGGAGCTGCTGTGGTGACTGATGCCCTGTTTTAATACCTGCAACCCCTCCTTTGTTCTGTTGCAGGTAGCGGCACTGGAGAGGCAGATCTTTGATTTTCTGGGCTACCAGTGGGCACCCATCCTGGCTAATTTTTTACACATCATGGCCGTTATTTTGGGTATTTTTGGGACCATCCAGTACAGATCCAAATACCTCATGATGGTAGGTACTGTTGCAGATGCTGCTTCCACACCCAAGGGTAGCATCATCACCCTCGTGGGTGGCTCTGCCCCAGGCCCCCTCCCATATCCAAACCAAATCCCTGTGGATTCGGTGGGCTCCAGCGAGTGGGGCGGAGCGGGGATGGACAAGGGGATGTCCATCGGCGTGGCATGCCCTCACCGGCTCTCTTCTTGACAGTATGCAGTGTGGCTGGTGCTGTGGGTCGGCTGGAACGCCTTCATCATCTGCTTCTACCTGGAGGTCGGACGCTTGTCGCAGGTAACCCCCCTTACCTGCCTCCTCTTCCTCCCTCTATCCTCCTTCCCTCATCATCTTCCCATCCTTCCCGCTGTCTTTCACCCTCCTTCCCCTTCTCCCTAGTGCTGCCTCCCAAAAAAGGGACCCAGAGCCTGTGGGTGCCATCACCCTGGTGGCAAAGCACCCTGGTGCTGGGGGTGCTTCCCCGGGGGCTCCCGGCTGCAGCACTGAGCACCCAGGCATGTGTGGGATGGACAGACGGACGGTTCAGGCCAAGGTGGTGGTGATGAGGGGGTTTAAAGCGGGAGAGCAAAATTAATGAGGCTGATGAGTTGGGAATTGCAAGGCACTTGTTAATCACCGGTGTGCCCTCAGCACTGCCAGGGTTTATGGGGTGCAGAAATTGGATGGCACCATTTCCTAATGTGCTAGAGAGGAGATAAAGTGGAGAAGGGACACAGGGACTGGGGACAAGCAATGACAGGGAAGTGTGGGGCAGGGTCTCCAGCAGCTCAGCTCACAAGGCAGGCAGGGATGGGCAAGGCAGTGGCATGGGGAGGAGGAGGTCCCTTTGCTGCAGATTCCAAATTTTCTGGGGTCTTCTGAGGCTCTGCAAGTGCCATTCGGCCCCAGAGCACCCAGCAGTGTCATGAGAGCAGCTGGACATTGTTAATGGCTTTGAAAAGTCCCCCAGTGGTAGTGGGGGCGAGGATGTGAGTGAGGTTGTGCCTCTCTGCCCCAGCCCGGGCTATTAAATCTTAGCTCTTACAGAAGAAAGAGCAAAACAATGTAGTGATGATGCATCACTAAATGGTTTGAGCATCCTCAGCCTGCAGTTGGGGTACCCGTGCCGAGGGTGTGCCCCACTCTGCCAGCCCACTCCTGGCTCTGAGGGCACTGTCGCCTTTGCTGGGTTTGGGGCATCACAAAGGTCTCGGGAAAACAGGCTCCAGCTCACCCCGGAGCTGCCCACAGTGGGGAAAAGGGCTTGCTGGGGGGTTTGATGGATGAAACCATCTTCCCATGTTGCTACAAATCATTTGGGGCTCTTCTGAAAAGCTGAAATGCTGGAGCCGTGCAGCAGGCATGGAGGATGCAATAGGGGAGGATTCACTCCCACTGAGTGTTTTCAGTGGAAATCCCCAATCCCTCAGTGACGCTGCAATGCTGGAACACCCTCTCTTTGGGCTTCCCAGCACAGAAACCCACATCCTTTGGTTTTAGAAACCAAAACCCACTTTCTTTCTATTTTTTCCACCCCCACCCACAAATATCTTCTAATCCCAGTTCGGTGTTTTCCTACAAAGGATGCTCAGCAGGCCTCCCAGCCCCCTGCAGACCCAAGGGCTGGTGGTACAGAGAGGGGCTGGGAGGACCCTCCGTGGGGTGGGTGCTCACCCAGCCATGCCAGGAGGACCCTCTATGGGGTGGGTGCAGGAGCCCTGCACCAGGGCTGCACCCCATCCCATGCGGTCCCCATCTCCCTGCCAGGTCCATGGGCAGAGGCATCGCCATTGAACGTGCCTCCATGTGTCCTGAAATTAAGCCCAGGGGCTTAGCCTCATGCCAACCTGCTATGGTGAGGGCACAAGCAGGGACTGGGGGATTAGCCCTATATCTTATCCAACCCCAGTGATAGCCCGCAGCCCTGCCTTGCAGCAGGGAGGCTGCTGCCTACTGCACTGCCCCCTCAAAGCTGCTGGAGATGAAACAGGGAGAGCCCCAAAGCCTGGTAATGGGCTTATGAGGAGGGGACGTGCATGAGCGAGGCCCTGCAAGGCTCTGAGAGGATGGGTTGCGGGGCAGGGATGTTCCCCTGAAAGCCCAGGGGAAGCAGAGGGGATTTCCTTGCATCCTTGGACCACACTGGCAGGGTGATCCCATGGTCCCATCTTTCAGACAGCTGGATTGGCCGGCAGCATCGCATGAGGCTGTTTCCCTGCCTCAAGGCCAAGCTGGCGCGTTGGTGTCTGCTCCGTGACATCCCTGATGTCACCTGGGCATCACGGTGCACCTGGATGCTGCTTGACCAAATGGTCCATGATGGCAGTGTGGGAGGAAGCCACAAACCCCAGGGACACTGGCTGCAGGTTAGGGAGATGCAGGGGTTTGGGGGCCACACTGCATTAAGGTGGTCTGAGTGGGTGCAGTGCTCGTGGAGCTTCCTTGGGTTGGAAAAACCCATTTTCTGTCCACCTCCTCTGCCAAGAACTTCAGATACAGTCTGTGCCTCCTCCTCTGCTCCCCTCCTGCAGGACCGAGACTTCATCATGACCTTCAATACCTCACTGCACCGCTCGTGGTGGATGGAGAACGGGCCGGGCTGCCTGGTGACGCCGGTGATGAACTCCAACCTGGCACCCGAGGACCATCACGTCATCACGGTCAGCGGCTGCCTGCTCGACTACCAGTACATCGAAGTAGTGAGCAGCGCCACACAGATATTCCTGGCGGTAAGGGCAGCTGCTGGCACCTTCCCTCCTCATCCTGAATTGTGAAAGGGGGGGATGATGTCAGGGACTGGGGTGGGCAGAGCCGCCATGGTCAGCTGGAGATGTCCCACTGTGCCATCACACATTGGTGACTGCTTATAGCATCAAGACGGGTGTTGGCTCAGGGCTGGGAAGAGCAGCTGGAGCCCATGCCAGCACCCCAGGGATACTGCCTGTCCCCAGACCTGGCAGGGTGTGGGCTGGATGCTGCAGGAATCAGGGGCTTCTCGGTGTGACACACCCAGGCACGTTACCGGAGTGTAAGCTGGTGGGATGTGCTGCTTGCTGGAAAGGGAGGGTGCCCCTTTCCCTGTGGCTGTGTCACCCCATGGGCAGGTGGGAACAGGGCATACCTGGATGCAAAGCTCCTGGGGTCCCTTGAGGGACTGCAGGAAAATAAAACGTCAAAAGGAATTGGGGTCCAGAGCAGCTGCCAAAGGGGCACCCAGAGCTACGTGGGGCTCAGCACCGTCTGCTATTGTCCCAGTGTGATGCCAGCCCATCTCCCCCAGGAGTCACCACCCTTGTCCCCCTGGTGCAGATGAAACCATCTCACCTCGCTGCATCCCAAACCACCACTTGGACCCACTGGAGACGAGCTCCAGCACTGCGGCAGCCGTGATCCTGCCCAGGGTCCCCCCAGGATGCTCCCAGACACCCACCTTGCAGCACCCACCTCTGTCCCCCCACCAACACCGTGCTGGTCGTGGTGCCCATCACCCCAATAACCAGCTTCTTTCTGCCCTTTTTTGTTTCGCAGCTCTTTGGCTTTGTCTATGCCTGCTACGTCAGCAAAGTGTTCCTGGAGGAAGAAGACAGCTGTAAGTGCTTTTGCTCTCAGTTACTGGGGGTGGGGGAGAGTCACAGAGCTGCAAAATGGCCTCGGCTGATGCCAGCCAGAACCTCTCTGGGGCAGGAGGTCCCGGGCAGGGATGAGGGAGTGATGCCTGGGTTGCAGGCAAGCGAAGGAATCCCTTTAATTGGGTTTTTTGTCCCATTTTTCCATCCCTGATGAGGCAGATGCACTGGGGTGTGATGGGCCACCCTGTGCCACCAGCAGTCCCCCTCCATCAGCCTTAGGGAGGGTGCTGCACCCTGGCCAGGGCTGGGAGAGGAGGGGGACAGGGACAGAGAGCCCTGAGCTGCTGCATCTCCCGCGGGACTGCAGTGCTCACAACCTTCGGGCACAGGAGCGGTTTCATCCAACACGTGGGATTGGGCTTTGCCCCTGCACCAGCCCATGAGGAGGCTGAGATGGTCCCTGGGCCCTGCACCAGCATCGTGGCACCCAATCCAGCTCCCGATGAAGCCGGGATGCTCATCCCTGTACGTGGCTGCTCAGGAGTGGGTTTGAGGCTGGCATCGCTCTTGCTGCTCCTCGCTGACCTGAATTCAGAGCATCTCCTCTGGGACAGAGCAACTGCCCCAGGGCTCTGGGCCGGCGTGGCAGCAGGGAGAATCGCCCTTGCTGGAAAGAGCCGCCTCTACGCCCTGAGAAATGCTCCTCCTGGTGCAGATCTGGCCCCGAGGGGGCTGCAGGAGAGCCACCCTCCCTGCTCACTGCTCCTGGAGCCGTCACCAGCCTCCCCCTCTCAACAGCCACCTGAGCTCTGGGGAGGATGAAACGGGAAATACTGTGTCCCCATGGACAGTGGGGCGGCAGAGCCCTCCTCCCTGCCTCGAGGTTTTTCACCCCAAAGCAGGTGAAAAACAGCAATTTAAGCAGTTACAGGCTAATTTTGATACAACCTCTATTGTGCTATCTGATCTGACAACAATCCCTGCAAACACCCCTCCGGAAGAGCTGAGCACCCCAGCCCCAATTAACCAGGTGGTTAAGGCTGTAGCCATCCAACCGCATTAAATGCTCATCTGCCAGTAATTAATTCGTGCCAGCTGGCAGCTCCCGGCAGCTGACCGCAGGCAGGGATGTGCCACAACCGCCGGCATGGAAAAAGCCACCCAAATGCACCCGGCATTGGGCTCCTTCCCTGCGGCATCGGGATCAGCGTCTCCGCCAGCGCCACCGGCCCAGAAACGGGCCCAGCCCAGCCCGGGAGATGCTGGGGTTTGGCATCCCCCCATTTCCTCCCCTCCACTGCTGGGAACTGGTGTAGTGGAAAAGGAAAATCTCCGTGTGAAATTGGACACTGCCTGTGGTAATAACTTGTTTCTGTACCCGGGGAGCTGGCAAAGGGGTTTATCTACCGCCGCCGGCTTTGAAGCGTGTTTGCATTCAAACAAACTCTCACATTCAATACACTTTTAATATTAATGCTGGAGCCCAAGATTCAAATGCATCTTTTTTAATGGAATATCTTATTAGATTTGGAAATGGATGGATGGCGTCAAAATTGAGAGCTGGCTGAATATTAAGTCAGGAAGATAAATATGCTGGGAGAAGTGGGGTCCCCTCTTGAGCTCGCTGCTGTTTCTTGGACACCCATGTGTGAACCTACCCAGGTCATGGCTCCGTGGGGATTGATATACTGGTTTGGGGGAGATGGGTTGTGCCACGGCTCCTGTAACCACTTGGGTACCCCAGCCTGGCTGTGCGTGGTGCCTGTTCCTGGCCTGGCTGAGCTGAGCCTGCGGGAGGGTTTAGGTCTGGGGCACACAGGATGATTGTGGGAGAAGTTGGGGTACCCTCAGCTACCCACCGCTCCCACTGCCTCGAGCTGGGGTGAAGGGCTGGGGTCTGGCGCTGCCATCCCTGCACTGAGTGCCCAGGGGCTCCGCGGGCGGGTGATGGGCTCTGCCGGCCTGGAAATCGCAGCCGTGAAAACTGATATATTCGTGTCTGCAATTCCCCTAAATGACAGGCTTTAAACAAGATGTAATTCCCCCATAATTCTTCTTAAATGCCCACTCTGGAGACAATGATAGGGTAATTTTACCCATTTTGTCAGGCCTGCAACACAAGGACTGTTGTGGTGAGGAAAAGGGAGCCGCAGGGATCTCTGCAAGTCAGTCCAGCTCCTTCCCTCTGTTTCTTGCTGGTGCTTTCCTGGGATGCTGCTGTGATCTGGGATGCTGCTGTGTCCCCAGATGCTGCATTTCCCTGGGATGCTGCCCTTTCCCAGGATGCTGCTGGGACCTGGGATGCTGTAGTGACCTGGGATGCTGCATGTCCCCAGGGTGTTTTGGTGACCCAGGATGCCACATGTCCTTGGGATGCTAAATGTCCCTGGGATGTTGCACGTCCCTGGGCTGCTGTGGTGACCCGGGATGCTGCGGTGACCTGGGATGCTGTGGTGACCTGGGATGCTGCAGTGACCTGGGATGCTGTGGTGACCCAGGATGCTGTGATGACCTGGGATGCTGCAGTGACCTGGGATGCTGCATGTCCCCAGGGTGTTTTGGTGACCCAGGATGCCACATGTCCTTGGGATGCTAAATGTCCCTGGGATGTTGCACGTCCCTGGG